CGAACAAATATTATTTTGAACTTTCTTAATAAAATACGCAACTACCACCGTGCGGAAAAGTTCGTCTTACTCCCGTAAGACTCTTTATTTTTTCTCTCGACGTCGTGTTCACATTAGTTCATATTCAACAAGAAAACTAGTTGATGGAATTAAAATGGTACATCAAATGAATGAAATTGAAATGAAAATCAAAGAAGAAAAAAATACACACACACATGAGCGCACGAAAAATTGGAAAGTGATGTCGCAGAAAGTTTTTGACGATGGAATAATTGTGTGTAGTATAGTTTCTTGTTTTGGAAAACTCTCTCGAACATATATAGGGGTGCAATTTTTTTTCTGCTGCTGCTGTACTAGTTCATTTTTCCATCAATTTATTTAACTTCACTTCATTGATTCATGAGAGTAAATAGAGTTAAAATGCAACTGCGTTTGCACTGTTAATGATGATACTCGAGTGTGCGTTGCATATAGTTCATGGATCACGGCTTGTTTGCTTTTTTCATTTCTGTTTTAGCGAAAATGCTATTTCAAATCAGAGAATTTCGAACATATACATGCACGAAACATGCAAATAAGTAATAAATAAACATTGAAGAGGAACTATATGGGCCACGATACAGTACAATATCGTTTATTGTTGAAGAGTATCAAGTTTGCTCTACACTTGTGATAGAATAAATACCGACCGCATAAAAGCAAAAAAAATATATCGTGAAATATCGTTCTGTGCCGCGAATACAACACATTTTTTCTTCTCATTTTTTTTTGCTCAGCTCACTCGCGATCATTTTTTTTATTTATTCTGTTGACTCTGGCATTCCATTGATTTCAATGTTATTAATAAACTTTTATTAAATTTCCTTTGTTAATTTTCGCAAATATTTTCATTGAATTATTTGTGTGTGTGTGTGTGTGTGTGTGCGTGTGTGTGCGTGTGTGTGTGTGTGTGTATTTCATGAATAAGCAGTTGAAAATCGAAAATGGTGGCAACCAGCGGTGGCAGCAGCGTAAACATTGCTTATTGTGACAATAAGCTTTTGGCATGCCGGGAACACGCACACCCATCAAATGAGTCAACTGCTAACGATGATTATGCCGTGCTGTTGTAGATCATATATGCATCAATTAATTCACATTTATTCCAAATGATTTCTGCTCTTGATGTAAATCGGGGGTCGAGTAGATGATGATTTTTTTTCTCTTCTACCGCAGTCAATGTGTATGCATTCATTTTTAACAATTCCGTCACTATATTTTATCTCTCTCGTTTATTTCACTCCCCAAATGATGCCACTTCATCAGTAGCAATAGAGTGCTGCTGCAAAATCGTTTTACTGTTTATTTTTATTTCAAGTCTGCACTTTATTCATTTCACTGTTTGGCAACGGAAATTGTTTTAAAAAAATTTTACACGACAGACAAGCGTTGCAACTTATTAGAGTTTATTTATATGCACTTCAAAGAGCCTGAGATGTGATGTGTGCATAGAGTAAAAAATTACCATTTCATTTATAGTTATTGAAAATCGAAATACTCACACACAAACTAACACACATTCAAAAATCTGAAACATTGATTGGCCGAGCAAAAAGTAATTTATCATGTTGCATAAAATGTTTATTTTTTTGTTCGCGTTTCTTTGAACATCCACGTTTTTTTTCGGGTTGTTATTTTGGAGTGTAGCGTTTAATGCGCGGAATGTATATGCATCAATTTACGCAATTTTCGATGTCCAAACATTTTATCGTAGTCAAAATTGCAATCCGCTTTTTGTTTGTTGGATGTGCGTGTGTGTGTGTGTGTGTGTGTGTGTGTGTATGGGAAGCAGCCATAGAACGTGTTCATGAGTGCACTCATTGAAGATCAATGGCGCACACCAAATCCACTTTTTTTTATTGAAACTTTATTTAAATGAATATAAATTGAAACAACTTAAACGAAAATTAATGAAACAAATATAAATTGCGTGTTTGCTATTGATGAATTGATTCATATGCTTGGCATTTCAGTGCATCAAAATGTACTCGATTCACTCACATACTCACTTTTTAAATATGCGCTGGTGCATTAACTTTTTTATGATGCTCAAGTATGAGATGCTTTCAAATTTCTGTGATGGTTTCACAAAATTTGGTACATCTTTCGAAAACAAAAAAATCTATTTTGGATATTAAGTGCATGAGATAGCAAACTCAAATAAAATTAAACCGAATGGATTTGAACAATGCTCAACTTTTTGGCCAGTAATTAAGTTAGTGTTAAGTTTCAACACATTAAACTTAATTATGCACATTTGCTTGATTCCATATGATAACCGAGCAAAATCAATGTGAACAACATTTTTCTTACTGTTTTTGAACTCTCTCTCTCTCTCTTTCTCTCTCTCTCTCTTCCACACGTAAAAATGTTTGTTTTTTTATGAGTTTCATCAAGATCGAAATGAGTTTTCATGTTGACACCATGCAACCAATGGATTTTCATGCAACCAATTGTTCTTTAACATCAATCCATTAATTCAGCGTGACGGTTCATATAAACAAATGGACCACTATTATTATTATTGTAGTTCAAAACTAAATGACGTTCACTAATGACATCTATTTTTCTTTTCTTTTTAGATTCAACCTAATTCATTGGATAATAAAATTTTCGGGAAATATTAATTTTGATGACATTTTAAACGGACAAATTCAACGTAATACATTTTATTTATCGAACACGATACAGTTCGATTGAAGAAAAAAAATAATCATCGACAGACGCAAAACATTTAAAACGCCCACCCTCATCATCAAAATGGTGTTGAGACAGCAGCAACAGCAACAAAGTGGAGTACCACTTACCGTTTTATTCATAACATTGTGTTTGTGTGCATTTGTGAATGCATACGTGATCAAAGATGATATGTGTACCGATTTAAACACAGCAACATGTACCTGTTATAATGGTGGTGAATTCGAATTAGAGTGCACGAAAAAAAATATAAGTATCAAATTGGAAGTCATACTGCAACGTGTTGATATTGAGTGTAACTATAATAATGATCGACGAATTTATACATATTTGCCGGATCTAAAGTTATCAAACATGAGTTCTGGTCCCGGTATCGATCAGGTGAAGTTCAAATATTGCCCATTGCCCGAAGGAACAACGATAAAAGGTGTCATTGTCGATAAATTGGGCATTGATCGCGTTCAAACGTTAACATTTTCCAGTAAATCGGACATGCAAATGCGACGCGAACAATTGATCGGTTTGACTTCATTGCGAAGTCTTCGATTTAATGGTCCAATTTCCGATTTATCGGAAGACGCATTCAACGGTGTCCCAAACATTACCGCATTAGAATTACGTTCGACCAATGTGCATTTACCATTGAATATTTTCAAGAATTTAAGCGAATTGGAATTTCTCGAACTTGGATCGAATGGCCTGAATGATTTGGCGTCCGGCATCTTTAGCAATCAACGTAAATTAAAGCGATTGAATTTATGGGCAAATAATTTGCGAAATTTGACAAAGGATTCATTCATTGGTGCAACATCGGTGACCGATTTAGATTTGAGCAGCAATAACATTGAAATGTTTCAACCCGATATATTTGAACATTTTAAAGATTTGGAAAATATCAATCTTGGCACCAATCGATTTATTGAATTACCCGTCGGACTATTCAGCACGAATAAAAAACTGATGAGAATTCGTTTAATGTATAATCGGGTCGATTTGAAAACACTGCCCAACGGTCTGTTGGCCAATTTGCCACAACTCCAGGAAGTGATGATTCGGTGTAACCTTCAATTTTTGCCCGGTGATCTATTAAATGGTTCAACACAAATTGAAAATGTTACACTTTCATCGAATAAATTGACAACACTGCCCGCTGAATTCTTCAGCACACAAACCGATATGGTGAATTTGGACTTGAGCGACAATCAATTAACAGAACTACCGGAAATTTTTTTCAATACCAACAAAAAACTTAAAAAGATTACATTATCGAATAATAATCTTACTAAGATTTCAGGGTAAGTACAGATTTTGTTTTCTCTTCGATCAAAAAAAAAAAAATCGTGAAAAAAAAATATTCAAGATAACATCGATTCTTGGTTTATTGACAATCAACAAAAATACAAATTTTTTACGATATCGCTCTCTCTAGCACATCACTCTAAATGCAAACTGAAGCAATTTCTATGTATTTTTTTCGTTTCTCCTTCGTTTATAATGAGAAGTGCCCGGAAAATTGCAGTGCGCTCAAAAAGTTTGCGCACTTGTGAAAAGATGCGTCAGCAACATTGTCAACATCAACTGCAAATTCGTTGTGTGAAAAAGCAAACACAGAAAGAGCGGAAAATGGCTTTTCATGCATTTAATGTGCAAATAAAAAAAAAGAAAAGAAAAACGGGATATGGTATATAGTTTTTTTTTGTTCGCCATTGCATCTCTTGATTTCATACATGAACGGTGAAACTACGTTATCTTATCCCCGGTATCCACTTGTTAGCACTTTATTCCTCAGCTACTTTTTCTCGATGCGCTATTATAACGATGGCTTTCACTTGGTATATTTACTCACTGCTTTTTTGGCATCAAATCATATTGCATGTGTACCTATGTGCACGTACCTTGTTTGTATCATTATTGTGCACTGTGTACAAACCGCAATTATATATCTCTCACAAAACCCATCGCATTTCGAACAGCCAACAGAATATTATTGCAAGTCTTGCTTTGTATATTTAAACGCAATGATTTTCGTGAACAAATTTTCTTCGGACAAGATATAACACACACACACAATGGACAAAACACAAACAGTGGCTTAAAGAGAATAATGAACGACAAGTGTGTTCTAATGCAAACAAAAGCATCGGCAACAATATGACAAGAGAATTCGAGAAAGGACAAGCTAGTTTTTCAACATCTCTTTTATTCGCTTTTCATAGCATTTATATATATATAAGGGAAGACCGTGTAAAGTGGGCATAGTTTTGTTTTTTGGCC